GCTGGCCAATCGATCGGAACATCGTCCCGATAAACCTGTTTGCTCAGAGCTGCTTTGATTCATAGCAACAGTCATTTAAACCTGAATCACAACTTTTCTTTGCCTCTTCATTCTGCTGGTGTTGTTTCTCACCTAAAATATTTTTGAACTGAACGTTTCTGAATTGCTCTGGACTCATGAACTGGACAACGGTTCTTTCCAGAGTCACTTCATACACAGGAAGTCAGGAATTAGATTTGCCCAATCAGAAAGAATCTTCCATGTCCCGCCGTCTTCCTTCCTGTCTCTCTCATCCACATGAATATTTTTTTTCTTTTAGTACATTTTCATGTTTCCACAAATAGTTTTCTTCAAAGATCTTGTTGAACCTTCAGATCAGAGTTTTCAGGAAGGTCTGACTTGTCTGGCTCCGCCCCGTCCAGGTGACCTACCAGCTGAAGATCCTCACCACGGCGCTCTTCAGTGTCCTGATGCTCAGGAAGTCTCTGTCCAGAGTCCAGTGGTTTTCCCTGCTGCTGCTGTTCGCCGGCGTCGCCATCGTCCAGGTACGGACGGTTCCGGCTCTGCTGATCCGGAGAACGGTTCCGGTTCTTTGTGTCATCCAGACTTTGGTCTCCTGCAGGTTTTCTTTCAGGCTTGTTCTGATTTAGCGCCGCCCGCCTCAAGTCACATCAAGTCAAAGTTTATTTCTAACAGCCTCACCAAAGCTTATTTATCTATTATAGATAAATGCTGAAATAGAAAATAAAACAAAATAGACAAAAATAAAATTGACAAAGATATCTTTTTTTATTTATTCAAACAGTTTTTAAGTTTTTTAGCTGCAGCAATTTTCTTCCATCCTCCATCTTTTGTGTTTCGCTGGTTGTTGAAGGCCAGAGTTTTAATTGTACAACATTTTCAGCAACAAGGGATTTCAAAGAGCTTTACATCATAAAGACACAAAGTCACAGAACATCACGCTTCGGATTATTGATCGATGTTTCACGATTATTGATCGATGTTTCACGATTGTTTCCAATAAAACCAACCAGCTGCTTTCAGTCTGGACTTTAAGGATCTCAGGGTTTCGGCTGTTTTACAGTTTCTGGACGTTTGTTCCAGATCTGTGGTGCATAGAAGCTGAAAGCTGCTTCTCCTCGTTTGGTTCTGGTTCTGATGCAGAGCAGAACCAGAACCTGATGGGTCTGGAAGGTTGCTATGATGACAGCAGATCTTTAATGTGTTGCTGAGCCGCTCAGTGATTCATAAACTAACCAGTGAGGGACTGTAGAACCGGCCGGGTCCATGTGCTCCATCCTCCTGGTTCTGGTCAGAACTCCAGCAGCAGCTGCAGGATTGATTTATTTTTTTAAGCCTACTGAGAGTTCAGCATCCAGAGGCTCCATCTGCGTAGGGTCAGGGTCAGGGTCAGGGTCAGGGCTGCCGACCTCAGAGCTGCTAGAGCTCACTTCAGCACCAGGGACCCAAAAACACTTTAAACCATCAATAAGACCTTAAACTGGATCCTGATGCAGCAGGGAGTCGGTGAAGGGGTTGTAAAACCAGGGTCATTGATTCAGGCCTCCTGGTTTTGGTCATCGGACGACCTGCAGCATCGTGGAGCTGCAGCATCTTGTTTGCGCTGCTCCAAGGCTGAGTTCAAAGAGTCACGATAATCTAATCGTGACGAACGACTGGATCAAAATCAGGCAGAGGAAGATGAGATCTTACCTTAGCAAGGATCTGAAAGGATCTGGCTTTGATAGCAGCGCTAACATGCTAATCACATTTAACAGGATCAACAATCACAGCCAGATTTTTCACAAACGGACGACAGCAAGACAGCCAGCCGACCACACCATCACGTCCAGGAGAGGACTGCGCTGACCAAACTCTATAATCATTGGTTACATATTGTAAGCCTGGGTTCTATGAGAAGAGGCTATCGCTACTGGGTTCATTCCTGGCGCAGCGCAGCACTGGAAAAAGCTTAGTCCACACCCATCCAGTAGGTGGGCCCCTCCCCAGTCTGCATGAATAACAGTCAGGCCAGACAAACGGCCCCTAACAGCATTTTTGGTCAGCTATTCAGAACCAGTGAGGCCCACAGCACCTATACTCCGAATCTGGGGTCACAATATGTGACCAACGTTATATTTCGTATAGGCTTCGCCCTTTAAGGCTATTGCTAGCAGGTTAATGGTGAAGCAGGATGTGGTGTATGCCTCTAGTCCATCCAGACCACCAGGAAGCATCTGCTGCATAACAAAGACGGTCTCTGTTAGAGTCCTGGCCTCCTTCTGCAGAGAGGAGACAGGAGAGAGCCTCTGGTCAGAAAGGTTGAGATAAAGAGGAACAACGAGGGTTACAAACTGTAACAGAGTAACGATGAACAGAGCAGGTAACTTATTGCACTGCACTTTGTTGTTCTGCAATGCTTAATAAACATAGAACTGCCCAGGAAAAAATAACACAATAACGAGTCACGAGTGAAAAACATCATCATCAAAACGGGATCGGGACGCAGCTCAGCCGAGTCGACAAGAGGGAACAGAGAGCGGATAAATGGCTCCTTCTCTTTGCAGTTTTCAAAGACAGGAGTGGAGCTGCAACCAGAACAGAGGGTCAAATCCCACGGTGGAGCAAGTGGGCGTGGCACCAGTCTGCTTCTGCACACACCTCTCAGAAACCGCTGCATCAGCGGGTGGCTGCAGAGCGTTGTGTCACCAGAACATAAAGACACAAAACAGCTGCAGCTTAAGTTGAATGGTCCTGAAAGCTGAATTTCTGTCTATCAGCTGCTGGAGAAATGACAGCACTGAGCCTGAAGGACATGAAACGGCTCCACGCCTCTCCCAGCGTTGGAAGGCTGATCGTGTTGAAGCATTTAACGCTGTGGCTGAAGCGGCTCGTAAGTCCTGAATGGTGCGCACCACATGCTGAGGGAAGCCGAGCCTCTGGACTCTCTCCAGACCCAGAGACGCTGACCTGTCTGTCTCTGGGTGGTTCCTGATCGTTCCCTCTCCTGGAGGAGCGCATCCTCCCTCCATGACACCAGCTGCTGCAGGCTGGGAAACCACGCTGCGTTCTTCTGCTCGGGTGCCACCAGGATTACCAACAGCTGTTCCTCTTGAACTTGATTCAGGACCCGCGGAATCAATGGACCTGGGGGAAATGCATAAAGGAGCATTTTGGGCCACGTTATGGCCCCTCCTTGATTGAACTGTTAAACAGACACAGATCAAGAATGGGTCTAACTCCTCCCATTTTATGGGGAACCAGAAAATAGCGGAAAAAACCCGGCATTTTCTTCTTTTGGGGAACCGTGGAAATGTCCCCTTTCTCCGTCAGTTCCTGCAGCTCTGACCTGAGAGCGACGTTCTGCTCCAGAGATAGACCGTCTCTACCATCTCCATGAACGGCTGGAACAAACTGCAGCGTGTGACCCTCACTGACCAGCCGATCCATCCACCTGTCCAGGGAACATGCGCTCCGCTACTTTGAGATTCGTTCTGAAAGCAGGTGTGCATAAATGTGAGGCGTTGTGGTCCACATGGACTCCAGCAAGTCAGTCCCTACCGCCGTCCTCTGCCTCAGGGATCTCAGTTCAGACATAAAGGGTTGGTTGTTAGCCTCCATGCGGCCTGACATGACAGAACCCCTAACCCACACGCTTCCTGAAGGGGAGTCAGGGTGTCTGAGACGCCGTTTCAACGCTGACCACTGCCAGATAAATGAGGAGCCTTCGCCACTCACAAGGTGAGATGAGTGCAAAGCGGCAGCCGGAATCTCCCTTGGCTCCAACTGTTCACAGAACGCTCTCTCAGATTCAGACTGCTCAGAAGAGACAGACTTATCCACTGAGAGAAACGTTCTGAGACAGAAACCTCTACACAGAAACGGCTGCTGGCTCGCTGTGTCTGGAGAATGTGTTGGAGGAAGCTGCTGAGATCAGCTGATCTGACAGTAGACTTTGCTCTCAGTGTTTGTTTTATTTCAAAACATTTCACATTATCACACACACTCCCCCCACCTAGTATTTCCTAGCTTGTCTGTTCTGTGACTGACCGGTCCAGGATTGCTCAGGTTGGCATCTGGTGGGAAGACGCCGAGTTGCCGGCTGTCGCACCGAGAAGAAACGGCAGAGAGGTGGTGGAGGATGATGGCGGAAGAACAGAGCAGGAAGAGGCTGCTGTGGCTGTGGAGCGTCTCTGGCGTTGACGGCGGCCACATCAATCCCTCCAGCGGCTGGAGGTGTGAGTGTCAGGTTGGGACCTTACCAATGGCGGGGCAGATCGGAGGACAAGAAGCCCTTGAGCGCTAGCCGCCTCCTCGATCAGACAAGATAGGTGGTAGAGGAGCGAGTCCGCCGCTGGGAGAGGGGTCGAGTCGGACATACAGAGCCCGGGGTTGACTGAGCATCCGCTCTGCCGCCTCTCTTTCACAGCGATTCTTCCCAGCTGGGAGGCAGCATTGTGCTGCTCTCTCCACCGTCCTCTCTGCTGGCGGAATAATTAGATTTCCGTTCAGCCTGAGCGCCACATGAGTGGCAACCTGACTCGGTGGGGCCATCGCCCCGCCTAGCGCCAGCCTTTCAAAAAGGCTAGTCTTTCAGCACAGGAGTGGTAAGAGGGCTGAGGCGTTAGGGCGAAGCCCACATGCTGGGGACCCAGGCATCACTCGAAGATCCGGTGCCCACCGAACGACATAATGTACCCTGTCTGAGAAGACGGGCACAAATGGACGGAACTGTTAGAAGACATCTTTGCAGTGTTGATATCGCTATGCTGAAGAAAAACGGGATTTGTTTGGCCATTATTTGTCCAGACTAAACTTTATTTCAGTGCTGCGGGTGAGGGACAAGCCCACTACTGTTAGCCTTAAAGGGTGAAGCGTGCAAAATAGAACTCAGTATTTTTCTGAATTAGGTACAGAAATGTGCTCTAAGCCAAGTCTGTACATCCTGCACACAATCTTATAACATTTGTACATCAGACTGGCTGTCATTTGTAGTTACAGGTCGATTTATAGAAGGTAGATAATTGTCTGCAAAGCAGTGAAAAGAGACAATGCAGAAACAAGGCTAAAAGCACAGGCGCTAACATTGACCCGTGGGGAACCCCGTACTTCAGAGGAGGAATGCTGTGGTAGGTTTACAGAAAAAACTCCTGATTGAAAGAACCAGAACCAGTTTAGTGCTGAATCTTGAATAGCATCAGAAGCTGTAGACGGATCTGAACTAAATGAACTGCTGATTTACCCTCAGCAGTTAAAAGATTATTTAAACATTTAGTCCTGCCCAGGGGCGCCGCCAGGAATGTTGGAGCCCATGACAAAAGATGAAACTGGCCCCCCTCGCAGCTGCTCTTGTACTTCTTGAGTCACAATTTTAAAGCCTTGCTTCCTTTGGTCCAATACTGATACTAGACAATATTTCCTGCTCATGAATTTCACATCCAACCGTCTGTGTGCAACCAGGTTGCTTCAATGTTTTCTATCAGTTTTCGATACTGAAACGTCTCCCCACCAGCAACAGTCAAGGCAACATGCAAAATACACATGAAGCAACACAGACTTCTCAAAAAATGCTGTATAGTTGCATTTTATTCAAGCTGCAATAAGTCACTTCAATAAAAAATGTTTTCTCCATATTTGTTAAAGCTGGCACCATGCTGTGACAGTTTGTTACGAGAAGATAATCTGTGAAAACAATCAATCTCCTCCATCTGAATTACTATAACGTTCCAATGAGAACCAGGAGGAGGGTCTTAGCGCTGTCAATCAAGCTCATTCACTAACTGCTGAATGTGCTGAAGGAGGAGAAACAACTTCCATGCTGCAGCTTTAACTCCCCTCAGCAGAGGAAGGACGGGTCAGGAGGGACTAGAGCTGCTGCTGACCGACTCGCCTGTTAAGTGGGAAAAGGTCCAGTGAAATATGTCAATATGTTGGTGATGTTTTCCCTTAATTCATTAAATGTTAGTGTAAAGGAGGCTAAGCTAGCTATGCTAAATGCTAGCTTAGCCTCTCGGAGAAAAACTGGCTTATAAATTGATACGTTTAGCTTTTTCTCTCTTTTTGATGTTTTAACACCTACTTTATCATTTTCTTAGCAGCGCAGTAACAGCCTCAGTGGTTCTTGTTTCCACTGACTGCTGCTGAACACCTGCAGCTCCAAGCAGGAAGGAACCGATTCCTGCAGATCCAGGGGCTTCAGGGCAAATATGTGTTTTTGGTCTGGGAAGGGGAACATTTCATTTTTACTGCTGAAAACAATCTTCCAAAACACAAAATGATTCTTTTGGAATTGGCAGGGCCCAATGTTTTAATTCCTATGAACAAAAGAACAAGAACAAAAAGCAGAACACTGTGGAGCGCCCCCTGTTGGTCGGGGGCCCTTGCTATTGCCCCCCTGGCGCCGCCCAGCAGCTCTGAATTGATTGATAAATAAAAGTTAGAAACCAGGAACCCTTGAACTGTTCGGGTTCTGTCCGTCCTCTGAAGTCCTCACTGTTAGTTTCTTTAATCAGATTAAATCCTGAAAGTTTCCAGGAAACGATCCGGACTTTAGTTCTGTGGGTTCTGGAAAAGCAGCTGAGACGTTCCTGCCCACGATGGCGTTTAACTGATTTCACTGGTTCGTTTGCTGGGATTCAGTCTGGCTGCCAAGAGGTGGAACCGACACAATGAAAGTCCTGGTTCCGGTCCAGAACCCGACAGCTGCAGAGCATATGGATGGATCTATTGACCTACTGATGACCTATTGATGACGACCTGTAATCTTGTTGCAGGTGCAGCAGGAGGGAAAGAAGGAGGCGGCGGTTTCTGACGCCTCCAACCAGAACTATATGGTGGGTCTGGTTGCCGTGGTGGTCAGCTGCCTGTCGTCTGGCTTCGCCGGCGTTTATTTTGAGCGGATCCTGAAGGGCAGCTCTGCGTCGGTGTGGATGAGGAACGTGCAGCTGGGCGTCTTCGGCACGGCGCTGGGACTGCTGGGAATGTGGTGGAAGGACGGCGCCGCCGTGGCCGAGCGCGGCTTCCTGTTCGGCTACACCGGCATGGTGTGGTGCGTCATCTGCAACCAGGCGTTCGGCGGCCTGCTGGTGGCCGTGGTGGTGAAGTACGCCGACAACATCCTGAAGGGCTTCGCCACTTCCTTCTCCATCGTCGTTTCCACGGTGATGTCCGTCTACCTGTTTGGCTTCCACGTGGACCTGCTGTTCACCGCAGGGGCGGGGCTCGTCATCGGCGCCGTCTACATGTACAGCCTCCCCAAGGCGCCCGGCGGCCTCCCGGACCCCGAACCCTCCTCTTCCTCTGCGTCCGCTGAGCTGCCGAGGAAGGGCGGAGGCGGCGAGATGGAGGCGTTTCTGCCAAAGTCAGTCCTGGTGAAGTGATTCTGTGTCTCTGGCGCCACCTGGTGCTGCTTTCCTCTCTGCTCCAACTAACCAATGAGTGAGCTCCTCCTGTTGCTGCGTCTCCTCCTCTTCCTGTCCTCCTAACCTCTGCTCCTCCTCTTCCTCAGAGCTCCTTCCCCAGCCGCCAGCGCCACAGACTAATTCCTGGAAGCTGAGCCGGAAGGAGCTGGAGCGCCCCCTGCTGTTCTCTCTGCCTTAAAACTCTTTGCTATCTGAAAGAAGCGCCTTACACTGATTGGGTCCTGCTGGGTAGTTGCTGATTGGTTGGTCTGTGTGGGGGCGGGGCCGCCTGCAGACTGTACGGTGCCTTTTCCTCTCGTCTGAAGCCATAGGGTGGCGGTTCTGATCCCGGCCTGGCGTAGCCCGGTCCGGTCCGATTGCTCGCTGGGAGTGTGCTCATTGATTGGAGCATTTTTAATTCTTCAACTAATCTGTGATGTTTGTTGTTGGAGGGGGGGTCTGTCTGAAGGCAGGGTCAAGGGTCATTGTTTCATTTTTGTCTCCATTAAGACCTGATATGTTCCTGAAAACCTAAGCAGGTCCAGAAGGATTCACCAGAACCTTCATGTCATAACCCAAACCACCAGAAGATGGCGCTGTCCGAACATCACATGTAGAAAAATATTCTCTCTAAAAGTCTAAAAATGAGCTCCAATCTTTCTGCTGCCGGATATTCGGCATTTTGTGGAAAACCGTCACATTGTGCCATGTGGGCGGAGCCATGTGGGCGGAGCCATGTGGGCGGAGCCATGTGGGCGGAGCCATGTGGGCGGAGACAGGAGTTAATCTCTGTCCCGCCCACATCCACATGTTGTCACCGCCAGGTTTTCCTTTCACAAAGAAAGCAGGAATATTGTTCAGCCTCAGTAAAAAGAAAGTACACCCTCACAGTTTTGTCCAGTGGTCCATTAAACTGAGATCAGATGAAATTTAGTAGAACAGAAATAAAACCTACAGAGACCAAATCATATCAGAATTTTAGTTTTCAAAACCATAAATAACCCAGAAGTGTTTATAAGACAGAACCACCGAGAAAGTGTTTCATTAAATCTGACTTAAAGGTTCTTTTATTTCCACACAGGATCTAGAAAAGGCTGCCGTCTGATTGGACCATCCAAAATGTCTCCATCCAATCCGTCTGAGCTTCAAAAGTCTCGTTTCATTTGGTCTCCATGGCTTTTTATAAAGGTCATAACTTGTTAAATTCCTTTAAATCTTTTTGTGGGATTTAAATGCTGTTTTCCGGAGTGGTTGGAATCGGACCTCGGCTCTCCCGGATCACACGGGTCCATTTGGAGACACAAACCCAACAGAACTGCGGCGATTTCACTGGAGGAACGCGTTTCCGTTTTCTTTCTGTTGGGCGAATGAGGAGGAAGAGGAGCGGTCCGGACTCTTCCTCATGTTGATGACATTTTTTGGGATTCTGGTGGGATAACAAGGATTTTAGGTTTTTGGTTTTTGGTTTTTTTTCCTGAATCTGAAACTTTTCTTCATCTTCAAACAGAAGCTTCAGTTTTTCAGCTGTTAAAAGTATTTGGACCACCTGGATGATTCAGAACCATTTTCTCTCTGAGCCCCAGAGGTGATGATGATGATGATGATGATGATGATAATGGAGACAGAAGGAAACAGAATTAATTCACATGAATCTCAAAAGTTTTTTCCATAATGTTCATTTGAAGAACATTCAGTTTAAAAAAATCACCAATTGTCAAAATAGTCATTTTCTCCAAACATGATTTGAGAAAAAGAAAAGTAATTTATAAATATGTTTTGACCAAGAAGAGCAAAACGAATGAATGAAGTTTTATTTCTTTTATTTCTTGATTTCTGCTTGCTGTGTCTGGTCATGGCCACCAGGGGGCAGCCTCATCAGACCCGGTGGAGTTTGGCTCCTTTTTTAAAATCATTTTAAAATTAATACCTGTCACGTCATTCAAAGTAATGACACATTTTCCATTAAATAAATCTTTTATATTTTTGGTCCACAAAAAAATGCTGAAAAGCCAAAAGTGTAACTAAAATATATTTTCTTTTTGTCTTGCTTTTGCAATCATAATTTAATATCAAATTGATGAAATAAATGTTATTTCTGAGCAATAGAAATGCAAGAGATAAATGAAGAATATATAAAAATGTAAATTATAGGTAAATATTGATATGTTTTATTTTATCTGTGCTAAAAAAAGAAAACTTATATTTTTCATGAAAACTTTTTGTTGAAAAAAATCATGAGCATCTGAAGGGAGAAGAAACTGGAACCTTTCTTGTTTTTATATTTGAAGAAACTGAGTTGTTTACAGGGTTGTTTTATTTCTGTGTAAAATTGAAATCCCATGACGTTATCAATTCACTTGATGATGCAGAGTTTCTGTGTTTGGTGGAAATCTAGATTTTCTGAATCTGATCTGAACTGACAGCCTGGAGCGCCCCCTGCTGGACGGTTTCAGCTCTGGGTTCCATGTCCATTTCCTGTTTTTCTCAAACTGTTGGGACAGTTTGTGTGGTTGCACTTGGTTGTTGGTTTGTATCACAGCTTGTGAGTTTGTAAATACTTGTTTTGGTAAAGTTTTATAAATCAAACACTAAACTCTGGAGTTTGTCTTTTAATTTCCATTCAGTTTGGAATCAACGTCTAGCTAAAGCTGAAAGGCCTCCAGGTGTGAATACCTGGCTAAAGCGCTAGCTCTTTAGCAGAGCTAATGCTAACGAGCTACAGGTGAGGCGGTTTAAGGCTGCAGGAGAGCGAAATGTTTAGCCTGTTGCTTCCTAGCCAGGTCAAAGGTCAGGATCAGACTAAAGCTCCAATAAATCACTGGACATAAGGATCTTGTTAGAAAAGACATTTCTTATTAATGTTTCGACATTGATATATTTATTTTTTGAATATAAATTCAAAAATTTTTTTATATTCTGATTATTTTTAAAAATACACAGAATCTAATTAAGAGGATGTAGAAAAGCTGCTTGTAAATTCATGAATGAAAAACCATCAAAAAGTTTTTACTTCCTGGTTTGCTTCAGGTGAAACTCGATTTTCCAGTTTCACTCACAAAATTACAAAAATAAAATTTTTATTGTATTTCTTTTAACTTTCTTGAGAAATTCCTCAAATATTCCAGTTTGTGACAAAAATGAATTTCTGCTGCAGCAGGTCACGAACTCCATGGAGAGTCTCCCAGTAAGACTCCGCTGGTCTTACTGGGAGGACTGGTTTTTGACCCGTTTGTGGATCTGATTGATCAACATGGAGCTGATTAGTTTTGATCAACAGTCCTCAAAGGTCTGGCCTGGTTCTGGAGGTGCGGTCCAGGACCGATCACAGGAAGCTCCTGCAGGTTTCAGGCTTCTAAGATCCGTTTGGACCTGAATGTTTCTGGTCCAAACATTCGGGTTTGGACCGGAACATTCTGGACCACAGTTGACACGCACAGAATAATGGAGATTTATTTCATCTCCAAAAGATGGAATCATCTGGAGATTATTATGAAATTCAATATCTTCTCAGAAAGAACTTCCTGTTGAACTTCCTGTCCCAGAAGTCGGTCGTAGCTTCGGATGAGGCCAAGAAGGAACCGACTTCTGGCTCTTCTCCTCGTCTCTTTTCTAATCTTCCTCTGTCCGTCCTGCAGGTGTTCAGGAAAAGAAAAAGGATCCTGAAATGGACAGCTACCGCTTCCTGTCTGCTGAGGTCATGACCTTTCAAATTAAGATGCCAGACATCATCACTCCAACATCTTCTGGACCTTCATTTCTTTGCTTTGTGTTGTTCGGTTAGTTCTTCGTTAGCGTTCTCACATGATGAACCAACGTGGTTCTGTCTCTCTGAACCGGATCAGGAAACAATCTCAGAAAGTCTCCTGCTTTTTATATTTCAAAATAAAAGGCCAGACTTTTTTTCCATGTAGAAATGTATACATTTTTAAAATGTATGAATTTGTTCAATAACTTAATTATTTATACATTTTTATTGTAGAAAGTATAAAATATCAAATGTATTTATTTGATTACTTCACCTTTGTATTGTAATGTTTTATCAGTATTTTTTGGGTTGTAATAATAAAAGTAATAAATAGTTTTCAAAATATAGAAATAATAAAGAAATAAATTAAATATATTATTTTCTAAACTCCAAAATATGTCAAATTCCAAATGTCTTTTTTTCTTGTCAGTTTATTTTTATTTAAGTACTAAAGGATGAACTTTTTCATAAAATACAAACGCATTTTTATGTTTTTCTTTTCTATTTTCTACTTGTCATTTTATGCCACAGATTTTTTAAAATTAAATGTTTTCCATGTTCCATTGTTATGTTATTGAAGTTTGTTTTATTATTTATCATCTATTTTGAAATCTTCCCATGATAAACCAAAAACAAACACTCCACTATGAAAATAAAATGTTTATGATGTGAAGGAAGGAAATCTGAGCCTTTCCAGTCTGAGGCATTAAACTGTTTACAGCGCCCCCTGTTGGGTTGACAAGGACTTTTCTGATTTTATTTCACTCAATGTGAAATAAATGTAGAAGAGACGTAATTTATCGTCATGATAACGTGTCCTCATGCTAACGTGTCCTCATGCTAATGCTTCATCATGCTAACGTGTTCTCATGCTAATGCTTCATCATGCTAACGTGTTCTCATGCTAATGCTTCATCATGCTAACGTGTCCTCATGCTAATGCTTCATCATGCTAACTTGTCCTCATGCTAATGCTTCATCATGCTAAGGTGTTCTCATGCTAATGCTTCATCATGCTAACTTGTCCTCATGCTAATGCTTCATCATGCTAACGTGTCCTCATGCTAATGCTTCATCATGCTAATGTGTCCTCATGCTATTGCTTCATCATGCTAATGTGTCCTCATGCTAATGCTTCATCATGCTAACGTGTCCTCATGCTAATGCTTCATCATGCTAACGTGTCCTCATGATAATGCTTCATCATACTAACGTGTCCTCATGCTAATATTTCATCATGCTAACGTGTCCTCATGCTAATGCTTCATCATGCTAAGGTGTTCTCATGCTAATGCTTCATCATGCTAACTTGTCCTCATGCTAACGTGTCCTCATGCTAATGCTTCAACATGCTAATGTGTCCTCATGCTAATATTTCATCATGCTAACGTGTCCTCATGCTAATGCTTCATCATGCTAAGGTGTTCTCATGCTAATGCTTCATCATGCTAACTTGTCCTCATGCTAACGTGTCTCATGCTAATGCTTCAACATGCTAACGTGTCCTCATGCTAATATTTCATCATGCTAACGTGTCCTCATGCTAATGCTTCATCATGCTAAGGTGTTCTCATGCTAATGCTTCATCATGCTAACTTGTCCTCATGCTAACGTGTCCTCATGCTAATGCTTCAACATGCTAACGTGTCCTCATGCTAATGCTTCATCATGCTAACGTGTCCTCATGCTAATGCTTCATCATACTAACGTGTCCTCATGCTAATATTTCATCATGCTAACGTGTTCTCATGCTAATGCTTCATCATGCTAACTTGTCCTCATGCTAATGCTTCATCATGCTAAGGTGTTCTCATGCTAATGCTTCATCATGCTAACTTGTCCTCATGCTAATGCTTCATCATGCTAATGCTTCAATGCTAACGTGTCCTCATGCTAATGCTTCATCATACTAACGTGTCCTCATGCTAATGCTTCATCATGCTAATGTGTTCTCATGCTAATGCTTCATCATGCTAACTTGTCCTCATGCTAACGTGTCCTCATGCTAATGCTTCAACATGCTAACGTGTCCTCATGCTAATGCTTCATCATGCTAACTTGTCCTCATGCTAATGGTTCATCATACTAACGTGTCCTCATGCTAATGCTTCATCATGCTAACGTGTCCTCATGCTAATGCTTCATCATGCTAATGTGTCCTCATGCTATTGCTTCATCATGCTAATGTGTCCTCATGCTAATGCTTCATCATGCTAACGTGTCCTCATGCTAATGCTTCATCATGCTAACGTGTCCTCATGCTAATGCTTCATCATACTAACGTGTCCTCATGCTAATATTTCATCATGCTAACGTGTCCTCATGCTAATGTTTCATCATGCTAAGGTGTTCTCATGCTAATGCTTCATCATGCTAACTTGTCCTCATGCTAACGTGTCCTCATGCTAATGCTTCATCATGCTAACGTGTCCTCATGCTAATGCTTCATCATGCTAACGTGTCCTCATGCTAATGCTTCATCATGCTAACGTGTTCTCATGCTAATGCTTCATCATGCTAACGTGTCCTCATGCTAATGCTTCATCATGCTAACGTGTCCTCATGCTATTGCTTCATCATGCTAATGTGTCCTCATGCTAATGCTTCATAATGCTAACGTGTCCTCATGCTAATGCTTCATCATGCTAACGTGTCCTCATGCTAATATTTCATCATGCTAACGTGTCCTCATGCTAATGCTTCATCATGCTAAGGTGTTCTCATGCTAATGCTTCATCATGCTAACTTGTCCTCATGCTAATGTTTCATCATTCTAACGTTCCTCATGCTAATGCTTCATCATACTAACGTGTCCTCATGCTAATATTTCATCATGCTAACGTGTCCTCATGCTAATGTTTCATAATGCTAAGGTGTTCTCATGCTAATGCTTCATCATGCTAACTTGTCCCATGCTAACGTGTCCTCATGCTATTGCTTCATCATGCTAATGTGTCCTCATGCTAATGCTTCATCATGCTAACGTGTCCTCATGCTAATGCTTCATCATGCTAATGTGTCCTCATGCTATTGCTTCATCATGCTAATGTGTCCTCATGCTAATGCTTCATCATGCTAACGTGTCCTCATGCTAATGCTTCATCATGCTAACGTGTCCTCATGATAATGCTTCATCATACTAACGTGTCCTCATGCTAATATTTCATCATGCTAACGTGTCCTCATGCTAATGCTTCATCATGCTAAGGTGTTCTCATGCTAATGCTTCATCATGCTAACTTGTCCTCATGCTAACGTGTCCTCATGCTAATGCTTCAACATGCTAACGTGTCCTCATGCTATATTTCATCATGCTAACGTGTCCTCATGCTAATGCTTCATCATGCTAAGGTGTTCTCATGCTAATGCTTCATCATGCTAACTTGTCCTCATGCTAACGTGTCCTCATGCTAATGCTTCAACATGCTAACGTGTCCTCATGCTAATATTTCATCATGCTAACGTGTCCTCATGCTAATGCTTCATCATGCTAAGGTGTTCTCATGCTAATGCTTCATCATGCTAACTTGTCCTCATGCTAACGTGTCCTCATGCTAATGCTTCAACATGCTAACGTGTCCTCATGCTAATGCTTCATCATGCTAACGTGTCCTCATGCTAATGCTTCATCATACTAACGTGTCCTCATGCTAATATTTCATCCCTAACGTGTTCTCATGCTAATGCTTCATCATGCTAACTTGTCCTCATGCTAATGCTTCATCATGCTAAGGTGTTCTCATGCTAATGCTTCATCATGCTAACTTGTCCTCATGCTAATGCTTCATCATGCTAATGCTTCAACATGCTAACGTGTCCTCATGCTAATGCTTCATCATACTAACGTGTCCTCAT